GAAAGCAGGGCTGATTAAACATTAATCACTTTTATATCCTGTTAGAACTCATGTTGCATCAGTACAGCTGCTACAAGAACAGGTCTCTCCTTCTTATAAGGATTTCATTTACTGTTTTATTCACAAAGGAAATATTAGAATCAGACATGTCAAAAGAAATGTCTGCAGCTGCCTTCCACACTGAAACTCTCCCGCAGCTCAGTCTTTGAGGATGAAAAATAAAACAGCTATCACAGTGGTAACTGGTCTGAGGAATAATGTAGTGGGAAAGACGGAGAGAAAGGGAAAAGTCCTGACAGCTTTTCCATAGGGAATACCAAAAAAATAAATAAATCAAAAACCACACAATGTGACTGGAGACAGTGTCTGGCTGCGTTTGACAAGCATTTCAGAAATGCACTTTTCTGTACTTCTTCATGTGTCGCTCATTCACCTTTTCGTTCACTCAAATATAAAAAAAATGAAAACTAAAAAATCATGTTGTCTTGAGAACTTTATGTGGCAGCAGTTATTTCACCTCAGAATTAAATTGTGGAGCTTTCTTGCAGAACTAAAAGTGCCTGTCTGCCAGTCATGGAGATATTTAAAGGTCACAGTGAATCACACATTTGCATAAAATATACATGACTAATTGAGCATCTGTATCTCGCAGGAAATTGCAGCAGATGCTGTGCTTCTCAATGTGCTGGAGCCATTTACCTGCTTGTTACTGATGTAGACCTTCCCGTCAGTGTTGTTGACAGGAAGGTCACAGTAAAAGGTCACAGTAAGTGAAGATGTTTAAATTTAAACAGGGCCAAAAGTCTGCGGCCGTGGTAGCAGCTCTTTGAGGCTGTACGCTGAAAAAAATGTTAGGAAATATCTCAAAACCTAACAACAGGGGCATTAATGTTGGACCAGGCCACCTGATGTTCCTAAAGCTACGCTGCCACCTCACCTAAAAACAAAACAAACAAAGAAAAAATTAAAAAAACTACCCATGAAGACAGAAATACATTTTCATGGGAAATCTCAAATGAAACACAAGGTGCTAACTGTGGAAGAATAAGCAAGCATGTTATAATTATATTTTCATTGATCCTGTTGTGACGGCTCAGGGCTGCGTCATTTATATGTTTTGTTAAACAAGATTTTATTGTTAAATTAGCAGTTTTCCAGAATGTGTTTGGACCTGTTTAATTAAAGAAGGTTGTTCAGTAGGTTTCTGAGATGCTAATAGCTAAAAGGTAAATGAAAAAGCTAAATGAGGCAACAATGATTGATGGTCACTTCAGTAGATATTATAAAATAAAGGAGTGAGAGGGAAAGGATGGGAAAGAGCATTTTTTTCATAAAGCACCGGTGTGTTTGAACCTAGAGGCCCTGAGCATGCTATTGTGAAATGAGTCAGAGAATAAGAGGGTTTAGACAAAATTGAGACATTAGTTACGACTTTGACAAGCCTGGTGTCTGGTGTTGCTGCCCTGAAAGCCACGAGGGTCCGAAGCCTCAGGGGCCCAATCAGATGCACTGTATTCAGTAGACCTACTGCGGCCCTCAGCTCTGAGATAAGAGCTTTCTGCAGTCAAAAGACAGCTTTGTTATTCAGCTAGTGCATCCAGTCTGTTTGCACAGCAGTTTCTGGCTTTGTGTTAAAGTGACGGTGAGCTGCTCAGAAGCAGCGTAATTACCCACAAGGACACCAAGACATTGTTCTCTTTCTCTCCATCCACCTCTCCTCTGCCCTGTCATTTGTACACCTTGCACCCATTCCCTGTGCACATGAATATACAGCAAATGCATGAAAAAGTAGGGACACTTTCTCCTTTCAGCATGTAAAAGCAATCTTTTTGTATTGTACTAGAAACATGACCAGTGGGCGCATTTTATGTTCTGTTGCACTGAGCTATATTTATTTATACATTGTACTGACGTTCACTGTTTTTTTGAACCAGAACTAGGAAAACGTGAGGAAAGCTGTTTTAAAACAAAGACTTTAAAACATGTATTCAAGTGAGAACACAGGTATAATCTTGATGTCTTGAGCAGAATTAAAGGATTCTTGAACTGAACCTCATTGGACCACATTGTTTCTTGAATGCAGTGCTCTCAGATATATTTAATCATTTATATGCTTCTGCAATTTGTTTTCTATATCGTTAACATTTCCATCTTTTAATTTATTTTAACGACCTTTGCGTTGACCTTTTAAAATGTGACCCATCCTTCACTGACTTTGAATTCCAGACTATTTAACTGCTTTCACGCTTTCGCCCTCCTCCAGGTGGTGGTGAAAACTCGCACAGAGTACCAGACAGAGAAGAAGAGGCTGAAGGTTCCCAAGGTGGAGGAGTTCACCATCAGCTTTACTGATGGGGTGTCTGAGAGACTCAAGGTAAGAGCTAATGAATTTGTAAAACTGTAATGAATTTAAAAAACATGCTGATTATCTGTGATGCAAAAAAGACGGAGAACAATTTGTGTACACGTGTGTGTGTGTGTGTGAGAGAGAGAGAGCGAGCGCTGTGGTAATTTCATCAGGCTGTAACTTAAAGCAGGATATTTAGTTTGACATTTCCTCCGTCAGCTTACCAAAATCAGATCACTGTGGCCCATTTTATCTGCCAGTTTGGTTTAGAAACACACCTGCAATTGACTCCATTTGCTGTGTAAATACTTGCAGACAAACAAACGGGAGAACTGGTTGTACTATGAAAATCTCATGCAGACACAAACAACAGGCTGCTCTCGTTTGTCTTTCCATCTCTCACAGATGCATTTAAACACACTCTCCCTCAGTGTAGGAACTAAACAGATTTACTCAGGAATTGTTCTTGATCTGACTTCATATATCTATAACACAGGATTTCAAAGGGAAATATGATGCTTTTTAACCAACTACATTTATCTGAGAGAGATAGTTTCTAGTCACTTTACATATTAACATTTTATCTTAAAAATGATGATAGAATACAAGCACCGGTTCCAAACCATTTGCCTCGGGGCCTGTCAGATTGATTGCCCCTCTACACTTCTCAGATGTTTCATCTTAATAATTGTTTGAGGATAATAGACATCAAACTGTCCAACGTTTCACAACATAAGCAAAGACTGGTGAATAGTCCAAACAATGAAAACAGATCTGTGAACCAGAACTTTGCTTTCTTCTCTCCTTTCCCAATATTCATCTCACAACCCCTCAGATTTATCTGGCGACTTAGCAGGGGCCTGACCTCTAGCTTGGAGGTCTAGACACAATCACCCGACTGCATCTAAAGATGGGGACACACATTACGACTATTGGGCCGGTTGTGGATTTGATTTGGGTGTGATGACTGATCATACCAAGTCGTTGGTGGCAACAGTCGGCAAATAAAACCATTTAGTGTGTGATACTGTATGTAAATATTCTAATTCTTAAGTCTTCAGACCTCTGCCAGTCAATCCCTCAGTGATGACTGTTCACATCACTCATGCATTGCCCAGGTGAGACATACAGATACCTATCTTCATTATACAAAGTTTGCCAACCTTCAGTGCCTCTCCATCCTTTCACACTCTCACCCACACTGTGAGATAAGTGAGATGTCAGTCACAGGGGCCGTTTTCCTGCAGAATGAGCACTCTTAACTTTGATACTTTAAATACTTTTGTTCTTAAGTAGGATTTTGAATGCAGGACTTTTACTTGGAGTATTTTTACATTGTTGTATTTACTGAATAAAGGAGTTGAATATTTTTTCCACCACTGCTCTTCCCTAGCAAAGGGACAGGTGACTTGATCTATGTGTGAATCACTGAGTTACTGTTCCAAAAACATCTACATCGCTGAGTCTGTTCAATCCTCGGTCGTTAGGGGAGACCAAAGAGATCTCACGTTGTCATGGCAGCAAAGAAAACCTCGCTCCATGGCAACCCTGACGGAGAGCGAATGAGAGGAACGTGTATGTGTGTGTTTGTAAATGAGAGGTGTAAACTGGTCGGCCGTACAAAACATGGTGGAGAACAGAATTAGATACTGTACCAGACACGCAAAGACACACACACACAGACACAAACCTACAGTGAAGCTGTTTCACACCATTACTGCCAAGGTTAAGTAGAAAACTGCACTACCTGGGCCTCTGCAGCACTGCAAAGGGATGTGATGAGCTTGGTGTCTTGGAAATGGCAGCATTAGTGGTCAAGCATGTCATGAATCATCTACATAGAGAAACTTTGTTTTGCTCATAAAATCCAGCTGGAGTCCCTTGTATTGTTCAAATTGTCATTCATTCATTCATTCATTCATTTTCTACCGCTTAGTCCCTGAACGGGGTCACGGGGGGGCCAGAGCCAATCCCGGCTGGCAATCGGGCGAAGGCGGGGTACACCCTGGACAGGTCGCCAATCCATCGCAGGGCTAACACATAGACGCACAACCACACACGCGCACACGCACTCCCATGGGCAATTTAGAGACACCAATCAACCGAAGCTGCATGTCTTTGGACTGTGGGAGGAAGCCGGGGTACCCGGAGAGAACCCACGCAAGCACGGGGAGAACATGCAAACTCCACACAGAAAGGTCCCGGGTGGGGACCGAACCCGTAACCTTCTCAAATTGTCATCATTGTAAGAAAAAAAAAAGACATTTTGGCTGTTCTTCTCTTCAGTTTCATGGAATTTCTAGAAAATGAACCATTTGAGAAACTTAGATAACCAGATAAGAATGTATGTTTTTAATTATTTTAAAAATAATGCCTACATGATTCTGGTGTTTCATGACATTGCAGAAAACCATGCAGTAATGTTTTGAAACAATCCTGCTTAAGGCTATTTGCGGTATTGCACAATGATTTAATACAGTACAACATTAATATACAATTCTTTTGTATGGTACTTTTTAAGTGATATTAGCAGCTTTGTGGATGGCAGCGTTGGTCTTGTGTTTAATCCTAATTAGAAAATGCTAGAATGCTAACACACTAAACTAAGAACATGAACACCTGCTAAACAACAGCATGTTAGCACCATCACTATGAATATGATGACATTAGGTTGCGGTTTAGCTCTGCCTCACAGAGCTGCTAGCATGGCTGAATTTCAGTCCGAGCAGTTCTTTGGATGGTGGACACGGTTACTGGCCAGCTGTGCAGAGCCAGGCATTGCACTCTCTCTAGCTATTTTCTTATTTATTACATGATTATTTGTGGCACTTTTCATGTGAGCAATCAAGTGCAAAACTATGAATGTCTTCCGGAACAGGCTGTCTGAAAATATCCCTGTTATCTCCATGCGTTCCATCTCCATCTCCACATCTCCAGTGTATGCTTGTCAACATTAAAATCATTTAGCCTTCTCAACAAATACAGTCTCTGTATGGCTTTCCAAACAATGTAGTCCATATTCTCTGTAAAACTGACCTTCTCGCTCTGCCCTACAGTATCGCCATTCAGAATGACTATAAGCACATTAGATTTTCTGATCATCTGAAGACCCAGCTCTGAGAGTCCATACACAGGCTTATTGCTCAGCTTTTCAGGATACACTTGAGAGATGCTTTGGAGACTTGTGCATGTGTGAAACTTGCAGTTGGAGAAACCAGTGAGGACACAGTGTCACAATTGTAGCAGACTTTACAACACCACATTGGCTTTTATTGGGCAGAAATGTATTTCAGTCTGTGTGATTTTGTGCAGCGTCAGTTGGTTTTGGATGTTCAAGTTAACCGCTTGCTTTGCTTGACTGACAGAGCTGATTCTGCAGGCACACAGGCATGTCCACATACACACACACACACACACACACAGTACAGTACAGGGCACAGCATGCTTTGCAGTGCAGAGCAAACATTTCTGGATGAAAAGCTTGCACATCTCTCTTCAAAGCTTTGCAGATTGTGTTGATGGATGAAGAGCTCAGAGTGTAAAACGCTCTCTAATCTGCCCTCCCTCACCGCCTTGCTTCTGCTTACCACACTCCAGCCTTTTCTCCGTT